CATCGGAACCAGTGATGAGCATTGTGCATAGTGCATAGACCATAATCTTGTTGCGGCCATTTCGTTTTTTCTCATTCAAATCAACGTTACCAAAAGCGAGGCTGGAAGGAAAAATAGTCTGGTTCCTTTTTTGCACAAAAACCATTACCATTCAGTACTGTTATTGGATACAGGGAACGTGACTGAAATGGTGGCAGCATGATAAATGTCTATGAGTGCACGTAACCAATGTAATACCAGTCGCCTGTCTTTTCCTTAATATGGTTGTCTGGGTTGAGTTTCGTTAGCTTCAAAAGATTACAGCAGCAAATCACAAAACGAACAATTCCCAATCGGTAGTCAACTTTCACGTACGGCCTCTACCAGGCGCAAGACCCTTTCACAAAATCTTGTACAGGAAACGGTGACATCGCAAAGTATTGTAGTTAGGGCATGTGAAGCAAGATAATGTGACGCCCCCCCCCCCCCCACCCACACACACACACACCCATCTTCGTGGACCACCTATTGTCCCTAATCCTCATTCCTTTGTTTGTACTCTTTAACTTTTTGGGAACAGCTCTCATTGGTTTTGTACACGAATTTCAATCGTGGACGTTCGGTCAATCGTGGACGTATTGTTTGTGGCCTAACCCATTCCCTAGTCCGTCGATCGTGGACGTCCGATTGTCCCTCTTTTGTTTGTACTCTAACTTTTTAGGACGACTCCCATAGGTTTTGTACACGACCCCAATCGCGGACGTATGCTGGGAATCGTGGACGATATTGTTCTCTTTTGTTCTCTGGTATTTTTCGTCCACGGTTTGAAAGATGAACACGTACATACATACTCTTCTGTGTTGGTCATTGTGTTCCCGGAATATGAGGAATTCTTTAGTGAGATATCTATGGGGGATGTGTTAGGTATAATTGTTGTCTACAGTGTGTGTATTTAGGGGAGTGTGTGGCCTAGTGGTTAGGGTTCGTGACTCATGACCCTCTCATGATCAGAGGGTCTGGGGTTCGAATCCAGCCGCTGGTCATATATTGTGTCCTTGGGCAAGGCACTTCACCCCCACTTGCCCCTCTCCACCCAGGAGTATAAATGGGTACCGGCATTAGCTGGGGAGTAACCTGCGATGGACTAGCATCCCATCCAGGGGGAGTAGAAATATTCTCAGTCGTTTCATGCAACTGAAACTGGAGATAAACGCCGGCCTGATGAGCCACATTGGCTCGGGACAGACTTTACCTTTTTTACAGTGTGTATTGGGTATAGGGACATTAGAGGGGTACCCCTGTGTCTAAAATCGTGTACTGTTTAACTCGGGTCATCAGTATTACCAGAAAGAAAAGCGGTCAAAAATGAGAGCTAAAATAAATGAAAGGTCGGCGATAACAGAGAGGGCTTACCAAAGCCCCTTCTCTCTTCTTTGTATACTAAAAGAAACTTCAGTGTAAAACGTTGAGATACATTCAATGGCACAATTTGAAAAGGGGGACACTGACCGAGTGAGATCGGAGCGTCAACCTATATATCTCCTGCATTATCATTCTCAGAGATCATCACCATCACCATCATCATTATCATCATCATCAGCCTCATCAGCCTCCCCCCAACCAACCACGAGTCCCTGTCCGTGTACGATGAAAGCAGCAAGTAGAGATCGTTATTAGCCTCGCGAAATGCCCTAGCATTACCCTAAACATCTCCCGATGAGTAAGAAAGAAAGAAAAAAAAGACTGAGTGACCGACGGGAGCTGTATGTACGGGAGCCCCCCTGACCGCGACGACAGAGGAGGGATTAGCGGGTAAATTGCAGCACTCTCCCCGGCCCGTCTCTCAGCTTGATAACCCACCCAGGTTGATTACGACCCGGCAAAAGAACCTCAGACGTCCCTCTCATCATCTTGTCTCCTCTTCGTGTGCTCTGACGTTTCGCAGAGTTCAAAATCCTGGATTTTGCCCCTCTCTCCTAATTTGTCGTTTCCCATTTCGTATACTGCGGAAGAACTTTTTGCACTAATTTGACATTACTGTGCCAAGAGAGATGTTGCCTCGACAGTCGCCGGCCGTAGACCTTTTTATCTCGTTTCGGGCAACTTGTGTATTCTTCACACTTGATTAAAAGTCCAATAATAATCAAAGAGAGCAAGCATAATAAGCTGCTTCCTATTTTGATACATATTATTGTTTTAATACTTCATAATTTTAGCTGCCTCTTGTCTGGAATTCAGACGACAACAAGAATCTAGCGGCGTGTATCTAAATAAACTCTGAGCTTTCAAATTCTTTTGTGTGTGTGTGTGTGTGTGTTAACGATCTCCACTCATTAGCCCCTCCGATGTGTGTCCCATTATCCGCAAAATCTGCCTCGGTGTGTAATGTAGTCCACGAGCGATATTTTCTCGTTCCCTATGAATGCTACGGACTAGCTCTGTTAATAAATGTTAAAACCCCCAGAATTTCCGCCTTGAAAGTATTTCCCTGGTGGTTGAAAGGGGGGGGGGTGCGTGCCAATGAAAAGCGTTCCCTATAACCCTAAACAGGCCGGGTTATTTTGACCATCTCTCAGCCGGGGGGGGGGCGGATTCCGCTCGAGTGACGAAAATTATGAAACTCGGTACATGCATAGAACAACTTATCATGAACATCCCCAAGAAAATTTCATGACTAAAGGTCAAAGGGTTTTGGAATTATGGCTAATTAATTATTCATATTCTTGAATGGTTATTCTGCTCTGTGTACACTACGTATATGGAGAAATTCAGTTTTCACGGCGCCTAGCGCCGGAAAATTTTGGTTATTATTATTATGTCATATTTTGGGTATAATAATTTTTTGAAAGCTCAGTCTTTTTTTTGAAAGCTCAGGGGTGAACTTTCAGGCTCTATTGCCTGACTAACCTCGTGAATATTTGCTATAAAATAATTTGTTTCTTTTTCTTGTCTCTTTTCTACATTAAAAAAAGTTGACTGTGTTGAAAATAAAAGAAAATTATGTCCATAAAATATAGCATCCCCATAACACTTTCTTCGTTCAAACTACGCCTCTATGAATCTTAGTTTAACTCTGCGAATTGCGAACCTTAATGACGGACCCCCCCCCCCCCCCCCCCCCCTCTGCAAAAAAAAAAAAAAAAAAATTGAGAGAAGAAAACGACAAAAAACATAACACAGGCCTGCTAAACTCCACTCTTGATAGCTTCCCCTTCCCTTGAGCCAAACCTGGATCCGCATCTGATTTACCCGCGAGTCGGACTATACAGGGTGAGTCAAAAGAAAGTGGCCGAATTAAAAAAAAAATATTAAAAACATTTTGAATTTCATAAAAATAACATATAGATGAAGTACATGTTATTTAATGGTAACTGTGAACATTTCACGTAATTTGCAGACTCTGTTCCCAAGTCATGTCTATTTTAATTTTAAAAAGATCACACAATTCAGCTGTCCACCACTGATCATTTACCGTTCTACGAACTGATGAATACCCATTAAATACAATGAGACAAAAAAGAGTTGACTAGTTCCTTATATTCAAAACACAAAATCTGACGGTAAATAGTATGTTTCAGTATTTGAATATCTGTGTGTAATCTGTAATTCTTCCAATTAATGGCATTCCATGGATATCTATAAAAATTGGTTCTTTTAGTATAACATGCATAATGTCTGATGGCATGGAGCAATTTCAGTAGTGTTTATTTCCAGATGAGTGGAAGAACTTGCTCTTCTAAGACGTACTTCATTGGTGTATCAAATTTGATTGCTTTTTAAGAAAAGAAATCAACAATCCAGGTCACTTTCTTGTTGACTCACCCTGTATGAGACCAATGAGCATAATATAACCGATATTAATTTTTTGCTACTATTGTTGCAAGGTGATCAACAATTTCAATCCTCATAACAAATAAATCCTCTACTTTTTCCATGCATGAAATGAAAATAATTCACAACAAACAAGTGTAACTCTGATGCTTATAAATTTTTTTTTTATTCAACAAAAAATACATCCAATTAAAGAGAAATTTCTGACACTTTTTTTATTTTTGGTAACCAAAGAGTATACAAAGCTTGAATGCATCTTGCAATAATTATCGATGGCTTGATTCCGATGTATTTCCTATCAAGTATATCATTCCTAAGTGAGATGACTAAGAGTTTGTTTAATACGCGATGAGTATTTGTCGGGTTTGTTTTAAGAGAGAATTTTGCCAGAACATCAACCATTGTCTGTATCTTTGTTTCCCAACATGCAAAGTTGTATGTGAGAAAACCCAACATTAGACGTCATAAATTAAAAATTTGTCATGATGCAAATTGCGGCAAAATGCGGCAGTGCATGGAAACGTCTAGTGGGGTTTTTAAAACCTTTGTTTGTCCTGCGGATTCTGCTTCGTCTCAGGATCCAGATTAATTAAACATACACAGGATGATTTCCTTTTTTGTTTTGCTCTTTTTTCTTTCGAAGCAACAAAAGTGCCCAGAATCATAAGTAGGGTGTATAAGCAACTAACCTGCTGAACCTTTAGTCCAGCGGCTTCTTTACATTTTGAAAACTGAAAAAAAATCACATATTTTTTGAGCCTCAGAACTTGATTCTGTTGACAGTGCACGTACTAAAAAAACAGTGTGCCCACCGGCACCATAGTTTGAAACCACCTTCAATGTTTGTTTTTCTTCCGAATGATACCATTTCAGGCAGAATAATTACACAGGGTATTTGGTACCAGTCCATCTTCGCTTTGAGCAAGGATTCCATCACCAAATCGGTAGGTACTTTTACGGGCAACTGCAAAATGAGCTGATACGTGGCTGTAAAGAGCCTTTAACACTCGAACCAAATGGGCAAACTTTAATTTGTTTGCCTCATTGTGGTTTGATGTTCACTGCCATGAACATTTAGCCTAAATGCCCCACAATTATCATGTGCCTCCCATCTTGAAACACGAACCTAGAGCCTGAAGCTGAACAAAGACGAAGCCGAGATTTCGGGGGTGGGGTGGGGACTTGCTACAATGTGACAAGATTCGCGTGACCGTTGTTTTGTTCTCTACAGTTTGAAACCAAATTTGTTAACAAAATCAAACGAGTTTTCACCTGCTTGGTCAAAATCAGTACTGCTGAGCCAGTCAAAGTATAACACTGTTAATTTAATACTTCTCATTCCATCTTTATTTAAAAAATACAAATCCTATCATGTTATATTGGTGATTTTCATTCAGTATTACAGTGGCAATGTGGTAGAACTTTTTATACCATACTGCATCTTGGTTCTGACGAGATGATTTTATTGTGGGCAAATGCCATTGTTTTAACATAAGTAAGTTACATCATTGCTTGGATATCACTGAAGGAAAATTCAAGTGGTTGAAACACAAGTACATGGTGTGGACTATTACATACGGAATCGTTTCTGTTTACAACTGATGTTATCTGGTGTTATTTCTGTTTACATCTCGTGGAATACTATCACGCTAAGAACATTTTCAGCCCAATAGTCACATTCCTGAGAAATAACTTCCATCGGAAAGATGCATTGACGTTAAACCTTACTTTACTATCGATGATTCTGATACTCTGAACATTCCGTGTTTCATTTAGGATGGCATATGCTAATCAAACCGTGACGTCATTTCGATGTCGCCGTGTGCGCATGACCGGCAAGACAACGCTGACAACAGTAATCTAATTTGCATATAACCATGTCCCTCCTATATAGATTGTCTTGTCTTTGTTTTGTTTACGAACATAATTACATTTATGTACACTTTTCAAATTATGTACACTGCATCGCCCCAAATTAGGGCTGAAACCAAAGTCCTTTTATATAAAACAAAAATAGGAAAATAACCTCTGTACAAGTTGCATCTTATAGTATGACCGAATATTCTTTGCAAAACGGATTGAATACAGTTTAATAATAAAAAAAAAATCCTCGTTAGGAGCAGAACATCGTCCAATTTCTATATTTTGTTTTTAATTTTATCAAGCTTTGTTTCTTCACTTTACTGTACACGTTGGAAAAACCAATCTTCAACTGAAGTCTCACCTCCAACCGAATTGAAACTGACTTGAGTCAGTCTGGTTTCAGGAGCTTAACATGACAGGGAATTTCCACATCTAGTTTGAAATATTTTCCACACGCTTTTATTATTATTTTTAATTTCTTTTTCTTTTCCCCCTTCGATGTGATATCTCTCTGATCAGTGATCAAAATTAACTGACTGCCACGCATATCACATCAATGCGTTTTACAATATCCTCCCTAGTCATGCATAATTCAGTGAGGGCGTGGCAATTATGGTTTCAAGAATAATTAAGTACATCAAAGTGTGTATTTCTGAACCCTTCCATTTTTCTTGTCACGATAACTGGATAACATGCGGCCTATCGGATGCTTGCTTCGTAAGTCATGCTTATACAGTGCGTTAATAAGGGCGTGACGACATGATATGGCGAGTTCCGGTCAACCAACTTGGACATCATAAGACCCCAAATGTTCCCCGAGTTCATGGCTATCCAAGTTGAAGCTGTAAGCCTTGCGGTCGTGCGACCAAGCCTCATCACTCCACACCTTGCACAAATGGCCGAGTTCGGCTTGGAAGTAATCAGAAACCGTCAGGTCTCCCGGCTATGTAGTCAAAGACACGACAAGAACGGGGTGAATGCGAAACATCACCGCGTTTTTAGTCCCTTCCTGCCGAGGGGGCTTACGAGGCTCAGGCTCTGTACCCCCCATCAATCTCGATACATGGCGAACCGGCGCAGCGGCGCGGAGTGCATGCTGTTTCGTCCGGGAAGTTACATCCGTGTTTGTCAACGGGTGTCGGAGTGTGTTGGAGTCCTACTAGTCACGTGCCATAGCCGTGCCCTTTACTTATTACAGGGAAGACGGCAACTGATGACGACGAGATGGATGAAGACGAGCGAGGATGATGGTAATGATGATGACGGTAATGATGATGATAAGGCACCGGGTGTGAACTGATTCTTCACCCGTCGATGTACGCTCTCCGCTCCCGCCGGTTCGTCGCTCGCGCCTTGCGGACTCGGCGCAGTTCCCGGCAGGACATCGGGCTCCGGAAAGCCGTCTGCTATAGGCCTAACGCGACCGACTCTGGTCGAATGTATCCAACCACACTTCACACGTCCCAATATTAAACCAGTTGGGTTCGGTCGGGAGTGGCCCAAACCGGTGTCAACCGGTTCTCTGGGGTGTCATCGCCTGAACTTCTCTCCCTCCAAACTAGTTTCTTCAGTTGACGTAGACCAGCTTGGTATTTCGCACTTGATCGCACAACTGTTTTTTTATTTGTTTAAACGGAATGAGCCGTTCAAAAAAAGCACCTTAAGGACTCACCAAGTCCCATGGCAACCGAAACGAAAACTCGGGAGGACACTTTGCTGTCACTGAGCGTAACTGGCGCAGATGGTCCCCGGCTAATAAATACCAAATTTGTTTTGCATTTAGCCGCTTCGGGACGTTCTTAAACAAACCAGCGCAATGTCATGGCATTGATATAGCTTCAGCAGACTCGTTTGCCTAGCATCTTGAACACCTGCGATCTGACTCGACTGACAGATCTCATAGATGGCTTTGTACTTACGCTTATACAATTCAAAATGAGGTGGTTGGGTTGAAGACCAATCAAAACGAATAATCAAAATCGTGTTATTCTCTGATTGAAGAATTCTCAGTCACTGTTAATCTGAATATTAAACCTCATGCTACACGAGTCATTTTTTATGCATGACTTAATTCATTTTTTGGAAGAGCATTACTGAAACCTTTTGCTGATTTCGTTGATTCCTCGTGATTTTACAGTGTTTCCCGCTTCGAATGGTTGCCATGATTTGTCGTGCGAGAAAAAAACCCGGCAATATCTACAATTTTTGTTATCATAATTGCTCTTTATAATCATAATACTTCCTATGAATACTATAATATGAAAAAGCAGTTCCGGCAGTCATCAGACCATGTGTTGGGTGTAGTTCCTCCGCGGATCGATCCCACTCATCATGGTGGTAGGGTCGTAGGTGAACTGTGGATTGGTCCGCCCCATGTAACTCAGTCCGTTGCCACAGTACCGCGTGTCCCTCATGTAGGACACGTCACGCGAGTAGGGCGTGGGCCGCGTGTTGGACCGAAAGTAGCAACTGGGACCGTAGCTGTACTGGTTGTCGGCCGGGTGGTAGGTCGGATAGGTGTCCGTAGCACAGGTGCCGTTGGTCATCGGCGATTGGCCCAGGTCCGGGAAGCTGGGGTTGGGATTGACCAATTGGGAGCCGGGGAGGGTGCTGGAGGGCTCTGACGTCATAGGAGGGGACACTGAGGTACCCGACGTGGCATTGCGATTCGCCTCGGAATCTGTGTAACAGAAAGAATAGACACTCGATTACAACAAAGTGTTTCAATTTGTTCAAACTAATAAGACTCATCAGCGAATCGTGCACTTTCTAAGAAAAAGATTCTCAAACTGTTTGGCTTAGAAGGGAGCTCATTTGGGGGTTCTTCTTGTACAAAGTCATTTCATTTATTTTGTGCAATCACAAAAAGTACGAGACACTCACTTTTGAGTTTAAAATACAAGGGTTTTTTTTAAGAATCATATCCCGTGCCCTTCAAAAAATGGATTTTCCCCCTAACGAATTTTCAATTTGTATGCTTTGTTTAAAAAAAAAACTTGATTATTCCGATTTTGGGCGTCTGCAACCCTCTGAAAAAGGGCTTCCATTGTGTGCAAGAAAAACCCAACATACCCGCGAGAGCCGAATTATTGTCTGGCAGCCAAAAATTCGAATTTTATGAAGAAATCATTTAATAACTAAACGTCGGTGGATTTTCTTTGTTCAAAGTCTCATTCAAAAGTGAATAATTTGTATATTGCTAAGAAAAAAGCGATTGAAAAAAAAACCAACCAAATCTATTTTTCGAAGTGAAACTCGAAAATAGCACGGGGAATGAATCTTTTAAGTATACATTGTCATTATGACTTTTTTCATTCATTATGATTTGCGATAAAGGTCTTCCATCTGAAGTTGATCATTTTGAGTTGGAGGTTCTTCAAATCAAACATTGGGGCATCCAAACTGCTTTACTTCTGATCACAACAATTCTACTCACTTTGATCGTTGCTCTGTTGCCTGTGCGTGAGGGGCCTGCTCCGGCTGATACCCACAATCTGAAGCGAGCTGGGACGGTGGTGGTTACGCGTTCTCGGCCCGTTTGTGTGCGGCATAATTTCAATAATGCTGCCAAGAAAAACAACAAAACGAGGAAAACCTTGGCGTAAATTTAACCGAATTTTGTTTACTAGACGACTGTTAGCCTAAAGTGATCGGTACATTTCTTCAAAGATTTCTACGACTGTTTCTTGATAAATAACAATAATTTATGGCAGTAAAACTTTCGCTTGATGCCCTTCAAACTTGAGTACCGATTCTGCTTAAATCGTTTTAAGCACCACCAGGGATTTACCACAAAAGCAGTGAATCGTTCAACAGTTCCCCCAACAAACAATCCCACCGCCATGGTCAAATTCCACAATTAATCTCATTAAAAAAAAGGAAACAAAAGACGCTTGAAAAACCTCGATTTCAAATAAAGTTTTTCCTTTTTTGTCAAATATAATACCTTGAGCCTTGGTGTGTGTTGACAAGACCTGACGATGCCCGAATACTACAACAAATAAAAAAAAACAGGGAAAGAAAAAAGCAGGGAAAAATAACAGATTTATGATAATAAATGAATCATCGAAAATATCTTTGCCTTGGTGTAGGGGGCGGTGTTGATTGCCCCCGGCCGCTGACAGAGTGGTTGTGTGTTTTTTCACCCCGTTATTTTGTTCCTCTTCATGGCGGCCTCGCTTCACACACGCGGCGCAGATTAAGTACTCAAGTTTGAGAGGAGAAAATGGCCCGATTACTTTTGAGGTTTTCTGAAATATTTTAGAACAGAAATGACCCTCGTCATTTACAATCGAGTCCCTTGTGAGGCCGACGATATTAACTTGAAATTGGGAAATTTGGTTTGAGTTTTGTCGTTGGTCAGACCCCCTGCTGTGTGTCAATTATCGAAAGCAAGTTAGTAATTTTTACCTGGTTCGGAGAAGTGATAAATGATAAAGGGCTCATTTGACGAACTTATAAAAAATATCACAACCGATTTCAAGAACAAAGCAAAAATCAACAATTCCTTTCGATTTATTTGATGGACAGCTGTCTGGCCAATCTATTGTATTGTCATTTTCTGATTTTCTGGTATAAATCAGTATGGGCCATAGAGCAATGTAATTTACTATAGCTCTACATGTATGGTATGCACAAACAGATTTCTTTGCGAATTTTTTTTCCCGGTAGCTCATTGGCCATAACGCGCTCTACACACATTTGAAGCTACGCGCTGGTTCCGTATCTCTCGATTGGAATATGTTGCGGGAACCAGTGTATACCTCTTCCATTGTGCATTTATAAGACCATAAAAGAGCATCAGGTATACAAACCAACTTATATTTCAAACGAAATTTGATATAAAATTGTGGTGTTTTTTTTATTGAGCTCAGCGATATGGACCCTTAAGACCCAATTAAAGCTATCGAGTCAAATGGAATTTCAACAAAAATTAAATATGCTGCAGTGTTTTATTGTAATGAAAATTAAAAGCACTCACCAATCGTCTGGGTCGCATTCTCTGAACCCCTTCGCGAATGGGTTGCTCGCTATTTTGAGCTGTGTTATCTGTGAAATAAAAAAAATAAAAAGCCATGATAACATGTAAACCAACAAAAACACTCAGAAACGCAAACATATTTGGCTATTGATCCTGTTGATACACTACAGGGGACAAAAAGAAGCTTTTCAGCCTTTTCCCCCCATTTTCCAAAAGAACAAAACTGTACCAAACCACGATCATAAATTTATAATGTAATTTCCCAACATGACAGGCCATTTTCTTAAGCATCTTAAGTTGTATCTGCTGCACAAGGCTGTTTCTTTTTAAGAGTTAAATGATCATTTCTAATTAGCAGATCCAGGACATTATATCGGGTTGACAGCAGTGTTGACATGAAAAGGAATTCCTTTAATTGGTTCATTTCTCTTTTTGTTTTTCGTGGATCCGCATCGATCGGGCAGATAGAGCCAAGGATGGAGGCAGCTTGTGTATCCCTGAGGGCGTAGTTAGTTCCCTCTCATCAGCCCCCTTCCCGTACCCGCTAGGGAGGGCTGCAGGTGTGACGAGGTGCCCCTTGTAATATTGCCTAATCCCCCTAGATGTCCGGACGGTGCAGGAGTAAACCGTGTATCATCCAGTGATGAGCGATGGGATGTATTGCGCGGGAGATCAACATTAAGACAATATCATCGGAGGAGCACAACAAGAAAATCATATGACGGACAGCAACTGAAGTTGTTGCTTGCGACTGTTATGGACAATTTGTGGATAGCATACCAGAGCGGAGCTGTGGTTTGTGTGTAGATATTGCATTATGCGACCCTTAAAGCTATTCCTGGAGGATTCAAAAGATCCATCGGACAATTTGGCGGCCTTTACTGCATATATGGGTATTCCGTCATTGGTTATTCTTTGTAATGTTATCCTATATAATTTTCTCATCGCGATGTTTATACTTCTTTGATGACTAATAATCCATTGTTTTATCGGTAACAAGTGCTCTTCCATGTACTGAATTCCTAAATTGCCCTACACAAATCAATCATGAATACACAACCCAATGTGGTATGCTTATATCAGCGAATTTAAAATGGTGATAATAAGTACCCATCATCATGCTTAATTAAGACAATTCTGAGGAGCAATAACGTGTATCTATGAAAATGCACAAAGACTCACTGTATTAAAAACAAAATCAAACAAACAGTCCTTCATGCACAAATAATACAACTTATAATATGAATAATGACCACATTCCAATATCTGTATTCATATTTCATCAAGTTTAATTAACTAAAAGTCGCTGTGTTGTTTAACTTACAATGTTTTGCCGATTTGCACATTGCCCTGTATGTTAAAATAACACATACAATTCAAATATGTGAAAAGGGCTTCTAGGCCGCAAAAATATTCACTAACTATCATGATACTCTAGTATCAAACTAAACTATTTTTTTGGTCAGGTTGACAAAATCTGTTCTCTTCGTTCCATGGATGCTTAGTATATTATTTCGGTGACTTCAAAAAAGAAATATATTGTTCGTGTATTCGGAAGGTAATCATCGGGTTTCCTTTTCCCCTTTTCCCCGTGACTCACCCGGTGGTTCTGGTAGGCAGTCACGGCCGTGAACTGCGTCTCTTGGAAGATGAACGTCTTGAAGTCCCGCTCCGGAGCGTCGTCGAAATCCTTCCGACCGCTCACGTGCACCACGTGGAACCGCGGCTGGTAACGGTGCATGGAGTTCAAGATAATCTGTGTGTATATAGAAGGAAAGAAATGAAGAGAAAATCCCCAACGGCATAGGATGTAAGATATCAGTAATATAAACAGAAGCATTAAGATAGCACGGTAGTAAATTGGGATTTCCCGAAGAGACGTGCTTGTTATTTCCATCCCGAAGTGTGTGCGCCAACTTGGGACTTGGCTAACTTGTTCTAAATATACGGGGATGCAGTAGATATCCTGCTTTTGGCTAACTACAGCTAAGAAATCTAACTGCCTATTAATGAGAAACATTAAGTCTGATACACTGCAAAAACTGTAGTGTTAATTTAACACCATTCGGTATCTATATAGGACAACACCAGTAAAATTTAACACCAGATGGTCCTATATAGATACCAACAGTGTAAATTTAACACTGCAGTTTTTGCAGTGTATGCTTTTTTCTTATGGCAAAACAATTCACCATGTGAAAAGGACGAAACTGACACATTTACATTATTAAAATTACAGACTTTCCGTGTTCTCCAACAAATAGTGATGTACAAACTCCCAACGGACAAAGGGTCAGCATAACGAGGGAACCTTAGGGGACGTGTACGATGAGCATCATGGATGATTTTACTCGTCGTGTGGAAAGTTCAAAGTGGAAGAAAGTTCAAAGCCTAACCTGGTGAATTTCAGCTCAGTATAGATATTACACTTTTCGAGAAAACAATGGAAAACCAAGCACAACCTTTTGAACTCGACACACGATTTCGTCGATACTCCCATTATTTCCCCAAGATCAGTCAAAATTGACTAATTGTTGGAAATCACCTACATTGATTTCTTTTTAACGACAGCAAGCCGCCAGGCAGAATAGTTTCACGGGGTGTTTAGCACCAGTTCGATCTTTATTCCAAGTTTAAAAAAAAAAATGAAAACAATTCGGTAGCTTACTAGTGGGATGAATGAAAATGATTTTATGTCCCAACACTCAACTTGATCGTCTCATTACGTTTGATAGGAAAGATGACCCGATTCAAGAACCGTACGTTTCCCTACCATATTGTAAGTATAAGTCTAGGTATTAGACGGGTATTTCACACACAGAACCAGTACACATACATGTATACTAAACCAACAAGTTGAAAGCAATTAAACTAACTATATAGACACTTTATATTGCGTTCGGGAGAAGACAAATGTGGGTGTGTGTGTGTGTTCAACGTTGGTCTTGCATGCTAACCTCAGCATAAATCTTTAAGCAATCATTAGGATAAGTAACCAGACTAAAACAAAAGAAGATTGAAGGTACTCACGTGACCATTGTCGTCCAGCAGGTTATTGGTCAGTTTGAGTTTGTCGAAGGACACGATCTGTTTCATCCACATGGCTCCCCGGGCGGGCGAGTCCGGGTGGACGTGAATACGGCCCGGCATCTCAGGGTCAGCCTTGCCCGCTACCAGCCAGCTGGAACTGTGGAAGGCATACCGGTACCTCTTGTCGTCTACCTGGGAAGGAGAACCAAAACAAAATGGCGTCTTTGAACAAACAAGATGGCTCATGGCTGAAAGATGGCGTCTTTGATAAAAAAAAAAGATGCCTGAAAGAGAACAATTCTGAAAAGGTCGTGATCCTACGCTGACAAAGAGCTCATATCATTTCGATCTTTTGTATCAGCATCGCCTATCGGCAGGGGAAACTTCCCACTAAATTTTGAATTCATTCGGAATTGGAATAGATTAATACAAATTCATGTAGATCATGGGATGTAGCTGCTCGTAGAGAGATTACCCCCGGATGATGCCGTGTTGGTATTAACTGCATCATAATCTAGTCGATCTACCAGTCAATATTCAAGTAGCCTACACAACAGTTTAGGTAAATAAAATAATTTTGTTATAAGAATTTTTGTTTATAACATTAATTGAAAAAAAACACACACAAGACAGTAAACTTGTGCATTTTATAAAGACCAAATTATTTTCGCCAAATAGCAATAACTCAATCCGCCAACCTCAAAAAAGTTTCCGTAGTATCAAACAAATTTGTAGTCTCCAAAAATTGTATTCGTGTATTCGAATGGCAAATTCCAGCCTTCGTCTCTGTTGCGTTTTCAGTAAATTGATCATTTTCATGTTACTGTGAGTAGCTTACCGGGACGAAATCCATCATGAGTATGTATTCTGCCATGGGATCCATCCCCGAGATCTTGACTTGAAACGTCGGAAACATTCGTCTGTTCAAACAAAAGGGGAAAATGAATCATAGTCATTTTAATAAATAGATTTCTCAGTTTTTTTAACAAAAGTTGTGAGTGTACCAAATGATTTCAGAAAGGGAAACGGTTCGCAACTGGAATTCGAAATTTAGATGAAATATTGGTTTAGCACATATTGGGTGTCCAAAACTGGACATACATAGTGCCGACAATGGTGTCATGGCAACTGGACACAAAATGGTTTCTGTGTCCAATGGCGCAGGCAGTTTTCGTTCTTTTGTATTTCTTTCTGGTAATAAAACCAAGGATTCATCAGAAGTGCCCTAGTCACTGTAGGCCTGTAGCTCGAAAGCCTGAGAGAAGACAATGAGAAGAAATGACAGTTTTACAGGGTAGGGGGAAAACCCCAGAAGAATATTCTAGGGAAACCCATGGAATCAGGTGGGGACTGAAAAAACCCAATCCACATGTGGACCAGGGCAGGAATCGAACCCGGGCCACAGCAGTGGAAGGCGAGGAAAGAACCACTGCGCCAACCTGACTCCCCAGTCCCTACTGTGTTGCCCTGTACTGTTCTTTTGTGTACACAATTTTATACAGCCGTTGTCCTATTTCAGTCCACGAATCTGCTCCATGTGATAAACAGAACACTGCCCTCTGTTGCCCACAACATTTCCCCCAAATTGTTTCCACTTGAACCAAACCATGAGCTCCAAAATGTGAGCTGGAAATCTGAGAATTCTGAACGTCTGCGTTTACTTTGCTGGAATCACTCGTGTTTAATTAAACAAACAAAAACCTGTTTTCCTCACAGACAGCTGTTCATGCTCAGTGCAGGTATATCCACTGAAAAGATAATGCAAACCTGCAGAAGCCCAGAACAGTCTCTTAGATTCGTTTCACGTTATTCCAATTTCCATGACGTCCCCATGGAACTATTTTGGACCAAACTATCAAGAGCAATATGATAATAACCTAAGGCTTGGGAACGTGTGTAGCACATGTACCATGCGTCAGATAATGTGCCAAACACAGGAAGTTTTTGCTTAACAAAACCAGGTTACCGGCCTACATGCCTCAATGATTCATATGACTTTTCACTACGCAGTTATATACTTCTTAGAATATGGGCCGGGCTGGGGAATTAAAGTAAACAAGGTCGCCGGCACGAGTGCACGACGAACTTGTGAACTCACGAAACAGCCACGGAGTCAGTTATCTTAGGCAAGGATCTCTGTCCGATCTCTGTCCCTTCTTCGTAAACATCTTATCACATAACGAATTTAGTAAGTTTAACTTCAAATCAAATTAGGTTTGTCCTTCACCGACGTATAAACACTGTATACTCAGAGTGTTACCTCCCGAGTGAAAGTTGGAAAAATCACTCGGGTGGGACTCGAACCCATGACCTCCTGCTTTGAAGTGCTTTCTAGTGCAGATGTCTTACCACTCGGCCACCGAGCTAACGGGAGGCAACACACTGAGTATACAGTGTTTATACGTCGGTCAGCTCTCTGACGACCCAACAGTAAAATGGGTACCCGATTCGTTCAGGGAAGGTAAGACGGCGAGAGGAGAGGACTGGGCACCGCCACTCATTATGCCGCGCCCAAGACACAGTGGACCTCTAACATCCCACTGCCCCTACGGCCAATAAATGGCTATGGGTACCTTTACCTTTACCTTTACGTCGGTCAGCAAAGGGCATAGCCTAATTTGATTTAAATCACCCCGACGCAAAATTCCATCTTATGAATGAGTTTAACTTGTAACTATTATCATTGTGACATGCTAAGTAGTGATAGTGCGAATTCAACAAGTGCTAGAACGAAGAACAGAGTACCCTGGGTATTTTTTTAAAACCAACTTGGAGTTGGACCAAACTCCGTCGGCATACCAAAGTAAGAACGTTTTGGGGTGTTTAGCAATCATCTGGGTTGATGATGTTACATACATCTTCTCGCAATGGGGGCCAGCGATTTTCAGGTGCATATTCGTTAAATTCTCTGTTAATGCTACATTTGACGCAGATTTTGCTGTTCACAACGGCAGAACACATTATAGGAAAGACATGAAATTCGACTCACAGTGCAACCATGGTGCAACGTATTGAGTTAACCGCTTGGTGCATGCTACATGATCGAGTACAAGAAAATAACTTTAATAGGAGACCTGACAAAAAAAATCTTGTGGTTTCTGCCGTCAAGCTTCTGGCTGTTTCTGTCATCAGTACAGCAGTTGAGGTACGGCTTAAGGCCAGCCGCCAACAAATTGGAGAACCAGAAATGTAACAGTTCAATGAAAGCTCCGAACACGGTGCAACATGTTCTCTCGTGACCTTTTAGCTGGCCGTGGAACTGCAGCGATCATCGGTTTCTCATCTGGTATTAAATTGGGCCTGCCATCGCCGATGCAGCCCGGACCACAGTTTTTTTTTCCTTCTGCGCTAAATCCCTGCCGTCATATTTATTCCGTCTGTTGTGAGGTTTCTTTTTTCCCCCCTCTTTTCCTTTTTCTTTCTATTTTCTAGTCTGATGACTTGACACCGGGGCAAGTCGTCGCAACAAGGACCCTCTTGATTGCCAGGGCCCGATATAAAACGTGCCGAAAAATTCACCCAATTTGCGGCCGATTACGGCGAGGAAGGAAATTCACTCCACGACAAATTTGCCCGGTACTGATGAAGACAGCAGATCGGGCCAAAACCCAGCCGGTGTACTCGCACCAACCCCAGCTTATTTCTTTCAGAAGTCAAACTTTTCCATGCAACGTCGCATGCTAGCCACATATACCAACTTGACATTCCACTCGGATTATGATACTCAAATGCCAATGTTCAAACTGACATGCTTTAAAAAATCCATCAGTATGAGGATCTCATCTGATCCAGGCCATAATAACTTTTAATCAATTTTTGTAGGGATTTTTTTCTTTCGTACTCAGTGTAATCCCGACCGTCAGTCCGACGAGTGTACGAGTGGCCAAATTAGGTGGGTTTACGAGACGGCGAGTAAACCGTGTTGACAGGGCTTAAGCCCCCGCGACAATCACGGACGGACGAACATTCCGCAACCGACAAGCCAAGAAGACTTCCTGATCGTTCAACGGGAATTACAATCTTTGATTACTTTCCGAGTTTCCGTGAGGTTCGAAATAAAAAGCCCAGTCCAATATTTGCCCATCAGTAAAGATGCCGTCTTATTATCTCTTGATGATGGAAGGGAGGAAACTACAACGATCTTTGAGACGAAACAAGGAGCAAGCAAGAGTCAAACAGAACACATTGACCTTTTTCAATATCTTGTCTTTGCTCCGTCAGTGCAGTTTTGTGTTTTTGATTGATATGAAAGTCCCCACCAATTGTCTTATACCAAACAACAACCATCATACCGTAACGTGCACTTTTTTTGGTAAAATGGACATGACATGTTATCTTCATCGTCATCGTCAACGTCATTTCATTCAAACCGATGCTCCCACATCACAATGACCATCACCATCACCAAAATCATCCTCCACATAATTAATATAATCACCACCTACACCACTCACCAATCTTCTAAAAAGCGTGCAGTCCGGTACAAGGCAAATCAGATAATACTACATGTAGGTCAAGAGTAACAGTGGATGGACAACGACAAAGGAATGCCTTTATCACAGTATATTGTTACTATGAGCTGGTCACTTCAAACTGGAGATTGACTTGTGATTGACTTATGATTGTCTTGTGATTGACCTGTGGTTGCCTTGTGATCGACTTGTAATTGACTTGTGATTGACTTATCATTGATTGCCTTGTGACTGACCTGGGATTGCCTTGTGACTGACATGTGATTTGCCTTGTGATTGCTTTGTGATTGACTTGTGATTGCCTTGTGATTGACTTGTAATTATCTTGTGACTGACTTGTGATTGCCTTGCGATTGACTTGTGATTGACTTGTGATTGACCTGTTATTGCCTTGTGATTGACTTGTGCTGTGACTGACTTGGGATACATTCGTGATCGACTTATGATCGAATGGTAATTGGCTTGTAATTGCCTTAAGATTGCCTTGTGATATCCTTGTGATTGACTTGTGATTACCTTGTGATCCATTTGTGATCGACTAATGATCGATTAAGACTGACTTATGATCGACTTGTGATTGAGTTGTAATCGATTTGTGATTGACTTATGTGGAATTGACCAAAACCCCGCGATCATCAACAAACACGCAGCGAAAGTTCTACATGTCAAAAAAAAATATAAAGAAAAACAGAAAAACCATAGCAACCCCCTGTGACGAAACCCTCTACAAACCCCCAGCAAACAGGGGGTGAACATCCCCCAACATCAGGCTACTATTAGCATTCCATCGGCATTATCTCACCTCAAACTAATCCAATAATTCGTGCACGCAGTGACCCTTTTTGCTGTCTCCATTTACTCCTTGAAGTCGACAGGTGACTAGCCCTCAAGATTGATCACCTTGAAGGAGCCGGCAGTTTAAGCAGCAACCACTGATTTCCTTTAGTCGGCTTAACCGTGCTCATTAAACTGAAATCCACACGGGTTGTTGGCTACTGGCCGGCAAGCTGGTTCGCGCTAGTGTTTTATAGAGACATTAAAACCGGAGACGGGTGTGTATTATAAAGGCGAGTTCGTGATCTGTGACGTTGTAAATCTGCTACGCTATATGGGTATGCATGTTTAGTTACAACAGCCTTGCTTGAATTGTGCAGGGATTTCACTAAATTTGCTTGTTGGAGACAATAAAAGATCGCTTGCACTAATTGCTGCCATCTTTGAAGTTCGAGGTGCGTATAAAGTACCATAGAGAAAGTCCTTTCTTTGTGAAAGTATTGAAATCACCAAAACCTCCATTAAAAAAACAACTTGGCTGTCGAATGCAACATTTAATGTTCAATTAGTTGTATTCATTTTCAAATACTTATAATTTATGGGAGAGCTTTTCTTCCAAACTAAATACAACCATCCTAATGTCAGGATCCTCTTTTTGTACTAGTTATAAAGCT